ACAGGGAGAGGGCCAGTCCCCAGGCCCCCCCCCCCAGCCCCGCCTGGATCAGAAGCTGCACCCTGACCTTAGACTTGCTTCTTTCAGAAGAGGGCCCCCAAGGCCCCCCGCCCATCTGGCCGCTTCCTGGGAACCCCCTGGTGCCTGCAGCCTGGCTTCTTCCTGTTCTTCCTCCTGATCCAGAGTGTAGGCTTCTTCTGCTACGTCCACTTCAGGTGGGCCTTCCCATGCGGGACCCTCCTACAGCCTGGTGTCTCGGCTCTGGGCCATACCCATTTGATTTGAGAGAGGGCACCGAGGCCCGACGGTGGGGCTGCCCGGCCTACCAGATGGGCAAGGAACAGGGCTCAGGCGAGGATCTGTCCTTTCACTGGGCACTGCTGACCACCGGTCCTGCCCTCACAGAACTCACTCCCTCGAGTTAGAACAAGAAACTGCAGTTGCCCTGTGTGGGCAGGGCCGGGGTGGCTACGGGGGTGCAGGGAAACACTCGGCCCAGCTTAGGAAGACAGGGAATTGGCCTGGAGAGGACATTCGATGTGGGCCCTCCAGGTGTCCGGGAGTTTTCCAGCTGGCCAAGCCAGGCAAAGGCACTGATGCGGAGGGCAGAGCGTGGGCAAGGACGCAGAGGCAGGAAAACACGCGCCGTGGGAGCAGAGGCAGGGCTGACTTGTAGGATCGGGCGAGGGGAACTGCAAAGGTGGGGCGGTGGGGGCACCCTCCTGCATAGTGGGTTCGTGCTAGTGCACAAGCCCCGCTTAGAGACGCGGGGTGTGCTGAGGGCCTCGGAAGTGGGAAGGGCAGCCCGTGTTGGTGGAACCTCGAGGAGAAGCAGTGTGGGCTGGCGAGGTCCTGCAGGGGTGAAGTGTGTTGAGCTCTGAAAGGCGCAAGATGGAAATGCTCACAGACACCTGCACAAGCAGGGGAGCCTCCCAGACACACCTTAAGGGCCCTATGAGGCAGGCCACAGGGGCCACCGAAGGGTTTAGAGCAGGGGTGGCTATGATGCCATCAGTGTCAGAGACAAGTGTGTGAACCTTGGTTTCAAAAGCCCTGAAGGAGGCCCAAGTGACCTTCTCCTCTTCTCTGGCCGCAGGCAGGAGCTGGACAAGAGCCTTCGGGACCTGCCAGCCAACAGTCCTGCCCCGCGAGTGCTCAGAGCCCTGGGGGCTGTGAGGAGGCAGCTGCTGACCCCCGGCATGCGTGCCTGACCTGCCTCAAGGCTGCTTCTCATCCTGGGGCAGCCAGCAGCACTGGGAGATGGAGGGTTTGACCAGGATCTTCCCTCGGGGTGCCCAGCTCCCACCATACCTACGCTTCTGGGGGCTCCCACTCCCACTTTATTAAAGGTGACTTCCCCGGTGCCTTGATGTGCTCATTTACAGACCACAGAAGGCTGGGGCAGGCAAGGGGGCCTGAAGACCCAACACACATCCCCACGCGCCCTAGGCTACGGAGGGAGAGGGAGTCACCACTGTTCGTAATGCTGTCCCCAGATTAACCCAGGACATGGAGCTGTGCCTCCCGGTGTCCCTCCTGGCCCAGCGCAGCCAGCATCACGAGCCCTCTCCACCCCCTGCAGCTCCAGGGGCGGCAGGGTTAGGCATGTGACAGGCCTGGAGGAGCCAGAGGCAAACTCAGAACCGGAGCTGGGATTCCCGCGCTGCTCTGGCTCTCGGGTCTCCCTCCCTTTCCCAGCTTCAAGCTCTTTGGGCAGCTGCTGGGGGTGTGTGCGTGGGGAGGGGAGCGGGGCGGGGCCCTGGGTTGAGTTTCGCCCCCCTTGCTGCTACCTGGCTCCAGCTGCGATCCCGCCATCAGCGGCCCCGAGGGCAGGAGGTTCAAGAGGGCTGGGAGCAGGGTCGGGCGCGTTATCAGCGCAGCCCCTTGCCCCGGGGAGCGACCCCACCACTGGCGGCCCTAATCCGCTGTCAGCAGTGCCCAGGAGCTCGGCGTTGAAGGAGGCACGTGGGGGAGGCGGGAGTGGGGAGCGGGCACGTGGTGCAGCCTCCTCGGCCCCGTGCGGCCCCCCGCCCCCCGTGAGACCTAGTGCTGAAGTAGGCGCGGACGTGCGGTGTGCGGTGCGCGGTGCCCAGTGCCAGGCGCCCGGGGCCCGGGCCGGCGAAGACCATGGCGTTCATGGTGAAGACCATGGTGGGCGGCCAGCTGAAGAACCTCACCGGGAGCCTGGGGGGCGGCGAGGACAAAGGGGACGGCGACAAGTCGGCGGCCGAAGCGCAGGGCATGAGCCGGGAGGAGTACGAGGAGTATCAGAAGCAACTGGTGGAAGAAAAGTGAGTGGGGCCCTTCGCGACTCCAACGACCCCACCCCACGGCCGCTCGGCACACCGCTGGGCAGCCTCAGGCCCCAGGCCCCCTCCTCTGCTTCCCTGGACACGGCATGAGGTGGGGAGATGCTCTTTCAGCTGTCCCCAGAGCCACCCCGTCTCACGCTTGGACCCGCTGCAGCTTCGTACTCTGGACCAGAGCGAGTGGGGGGAGGGTCCACCAGGGCGAGAGACGACCCGGCTGGGGGGGGGGGCACGTGCATTTTTGACGAAACCAGTAATCCCTTAATCCGATCTGGTCCCAGCCGCCTGTGTCTTCCAACTGGGGTTCCTCTGAGCGAGGCTCTGAGACAGGCGGTGCATCCAAGGGGGTCGGAGTCTTGGAGACAGATGCCGAGATGGGGGCTCCCATAGGCATGGTATGGAGTCTGCCCTGTCCAGGCAGGGCCAGGAGTTAGCGGCTGGGCCCTGGAGCTGGGCTGCCTGGTTCAGATCCTGGCTTTGCGTTTGAGTAGCTGTGGGTAACTAGCAAAGCTACTTAACCTTTCTCTGCCTCCATTTACCCTTCTGGAAAATGGGGATGGTAAAACATGTGATTTTATCAATGAGGATGAAACGACAGTGTACGGGACCCTTCGGCATAGCGCCTGGCTCGCGTCTCCATTATTTTGTTCCTTTTCTTTTCAGTTTATTTATTTCTTCCACGAGAGAGAGAGACAGACACCCCCAACAGGATCTTGACGCCAAGATCCACTCCGAGCTTCAGCCAGCCCCAGATCGCGGGCAGGCAGGTGGACTCCAGCCCGTGCCAGTCCCCTGTGGGTCAATCTTGCAGCGTGCTGTGTTGCAGCTGCCTCATTCTTCAGCGCCCACTAAATGTTTGCTATTATTCACTGAATCCTCATAGCAGTTTTGTGAGTTGCAAAGTCTTAGCCACATTTTACAGAAGAGGAAGGTCAGCGACTTACCCAAGGGCATAGCTAAAGTGGCCGAGCAGCCAGGACAGGAACCGTCTATTCTCAATACGTTCCCGCACACGGCAGGGTGTGTCAGGGAGGGAAAGACCGAGTGGCACATCCACGAAGGTCTGCAGAGGGACCGACTGACGCCCCCGCCCCGCTAGCTCGTCCCGCGCCGGGCGCGCAGCCGCAAGGCGCTCTGTGATGGGAGAGCGCGGAAGACTAACCTAGGCCAGGACTCGGAGCCCTTCCGCCCCGCCCTCGCAGACCCCGCCCCTCTCCGAACTCTCGCGGTGACCCCGCCCCCGGTGCTTCCCAGGATGGAGCGGGACGCTCAGTTCGCGCAGAGGAAGGCAGAGCGGGCCACGCTGCGGAGCCACTTCCGAGACAAGTCCCGGCTGCCCAAGGTAAGCGGGCCCGGGCTTCGAGGCTGGTCCCGGACCGAGCTCCGCTCCTGACCTTCGCCACACTCTGGGAGGCGCGGCGTTGAGCTAGCCACACTCAGAGGGCCCAGTGCGATCCTCCTCCGCCTCATTCATTCCTTCAATAATTCGCGGTTAACCAGCGCCTGGGAGGGCTGGGACTGGGAGCTGAGGTGAAGCCCAGTCCTCGCGGAGACCGACAGGTTTGTGTTTCCGGAAGCCAATCCGTGGCCCCCGTCTCCTTCACCCTCTGCCTCCCCAAGCCCAGGTCAGGCCCAGGCAAACGCAGGTGCAGAAGAGGCCGGAAGGGGTTTTAACCCCAGGGATCAGTGCTCCCAGGGCTTCTGAACACACTTTCCAGACTGCACCCTGTGTGTGCCAGCAACTTGACACACAAGTGTCACCTCCCCTCCCACGCACACCCTGACGCTGCCAGGTCGTTCTCACCGACATCCACAGCGAGGACAGGAGGCTCGCAGAGATGAGGGATTTGGCTGAAGTTAGGAGCCTGTGAGTGCAGGAGCTGCACCTGAGCTCCTGCCTAGGTTCCCCAGCTGCCTGCTCCAGGACGCTTGGCTGTCTCGCAGGGCTGGAGCCTGCCCGCAGGGAGCAAAGGGCCCCAGCAGTCGGCATTCGGGGAGATGTCTCGGGAGACCCCCGGCTCCCAGGCTCCCCTGTGCACTGCGCCCCCCCCTTTGCCTGGGGCCTACGCCACTCCGGAATATCGCCTTGTGCTCCCAGCACTGTGTTCCACTCAGGGAGTAGACACAGCGCTGGCACCCCTGACATCGAGCTTCCACTCAGATGGAAGATCAAGTATGTGAAACTCACGTTCACTCAACGACCAACACTGACCCGGTCCCACGGGCAGCAGTCTTTTGGAAGTCTCTGAAAGGGAAAACGGGGCCAGAAAGCCTGTCAACTGCATGGCCAGCTAGGATGGGCTTCGTCCTGCGACGCCTGCACGCAGCACCTGAGCCCCAACTTCTGCCATCAGGGAACTCGGCCTCCGGTGGGGCACGAGTTGGAAAACCAAACCCCCGCAGAGGCATAGGCAGGGTGGCGACCTTCAGCGGCTGCCATCCAGAGAGCAAGCACCACCAGGATCAGTGGCATCAGTTCGAATCTATTGATAGATACCCCCTCTTCCGAGTCGCCTGACCCTGGGCGAGTTACTTACCTGCTCTGGGCCTCAGTGTCCTCACTTGGGAAGTGGAGACTCCCTGTCTCGCGGGGCCACTGTGGGACGTGAGCGCACCAGTTCAGTGTCAGTCGTGTAACAGGTGTTTGATAAACGGTACTGGCGTTGTCACTGGTTACCGCCTTCAGTGTAGTCAAAGATGCTTGACCCTCGACGAGGTGCCACAGTGCCACCCGGTGTTTCTCTTACTTCCTGTGCATCTCAGGGTGAAGAGGGGTGGTCTAAAGGCTAGGGATGAAAGTGCAAGGTCTCGGGACCAGCACTTAGCATCATGGCTATGTCTCTGGACTCCCGTGTAGTCGACTGTGGTTCGAGTCCCGGACCCAGTGGCTTAAACTCACACCGGCCCATGTGCATGTGTGCCCAAGATCCCGAGAGGAGAGTGGAGGAGAAGGGATTGTGGCGTGGCCATTCCCCCTGGGGGGTGATTTCTCACTTTCTGTCTCTATGTCTCTGTCTGTCTGACGAGCGCACGCGCCCTATAGCAAAAATCTCTAAAAAAAAAAAAGGAAGTGCGAGGTCTCCCCATCCAAGCATCAAACGCTTGCTCCTGGGTTTGGGGTTGGGGCTGAGTTTGTTGGAACAGGAGGCTTAAATCTCTGAGGGCCGGGAACCCAGTCCAGGCCTCCTCCCCGTAACCTCGAGCTGGGTCCTCACAGGCCAGCACCCCCACGCAACCCCCTCTTGCCTGCAGAATGAAACCGATGAGAGCCAGATCCAGATGGCCGGTGGGGATGTGGAGCTGCCCCGGGAGCTGGCCAAGATGATTGAGCAGGACACAGAGGAGGAGGAGGAGAGGGCCTCTGTCCTTGGGCAGCTGGCCGGCCTCCCTGGCCTGGACCTCGGCTCATTCAAGGACAAGGCCCAGGCCACACTGGGGGACCTCAAGCAATCAGCTGAGAAATGCCATGTCATGTGACCACTCCCCCTAGGGTTGCCCACTGGCGTGGCCAGAAGGCAAAGCCTACATGAGGGTTAACTTGCAGAGACCCATGCCCCACTTGGGGGTTGTTTCCCCTGCCCTTCCCTAGCCCACACCTGCCTTCTGGTCTGTCCATCTGCACTGGGAGCAGAGTCCCCAGGCCTCACCCTGCGCCTCAGGGCCACGGCCTCCCTCACTCAGCCTGGGGAGGCCTCCCAAGATAGCGGGAGTAAGTGCTCTCTCTCTGTCCGTGGCCCCAGTCCCTGCACACAGACAGACTCAGAGAGAGGCCGCAGGGGTGCAGAACAGCCCTGGCACGTAAGAGACATAAGCCGAGATGTGCCGTGGCACTGGCAGCCAGCCCCCTGAAGTTCCATCCAAACACTCAGACAGACACCCTCGGCAGGCAGGAGGCCTGGGCTTGAGTCTCCACCTTGCTATGCTGAAAGCTGCTGCTCCTCTGGGCCTCATTTCATCATCTGTCGAGTAGGGATGGACTGGACAGTTTCTAGCACTTTCCAGCCTGGTCTGTCAGCTCTGGAAGCCAAGCCCACACCCCTCCGTAGGCAGGGCGGCCGCTACAGCCACAGCCTCCAGCGTCTGCCACCTCGGGCTCCGGGAACCGAGCGAAGCTGTGAGGGGCTGAGTGCCAAGGATGGAGCTGGCACCACACAGTAGCCCAGGCAGCTCCAGGCCTTCTCCGGGCCCAGGGCCCAGCCGCTTTCTGTTCCGTTCCCGTAGAACTCTCTCTGGATTCCATAGCCGGAATCTTGTGTTGTCGCTCAATGAAAAATAAAAATCCCAAGTGACGTGCCTGACTTCCCTCTTCTTACTGAGCCCTGGAGTCTTAGAGTTCACGCCCCACCCACAGCCTACCCAGGAAGGGGGGTCCTCCACCTGCTTCCTCAGATGGCGGGGACACCCAGCTGGGGCTGGGGCGTCTCCTTGTTGCCCTCCCCACGCCAGCCCCAGGATGTCGAAGCTCTACCCTCAGCACCTGGGCAAGGGTGGGGTCTGAGTCGGAGCAGAGTCCAGCCTGGATCTGGATCAGGCTGGGTATTGAGGAGGGTCTGGCCATCCGCTGCATGGGGAGATACGGCGGGCAGTGGGGCCTCTGGGGCGTCACGGCTGTCCCTTCTCGTCTGGGAGGTAGAGCATGTACAGGGCGACCGTGTTCCAGCCCAGCAGTGCCGTGCGCCTTGTATTTGTTACCACCACTATTCCTACGTTTCATTTTGACCAGAGAGAGACGACGAGAAAGAGGGGGGGGGTGGGAAAGTAAGCAGCCAGGTCTGGGACTCAAACTGCGGTTGGTCGTGTGGGAGTCCAGCGCCCTGACCATCATGCCACCTGCCTGCCTCAGTGCTGTGCGACTTCCTCTCTCAGCTTGTTTTGTCGCCTGTAAAATGAAGAGCCCTCTCCCTGCAGTCAGACAACAACACATGTTTCAAAGGGTAACCCTTTTTAAAGCCCTTGTATGTGATAACTATCAGTAACTGGAAACTCATTTCTTTTTTCAATGAGAGAGAAAGCATCGGGGGGGTATTTTTACATGTGGACAGGTGCTGAACCTCCTGCCCCAGCCTCAGTGAGCTGGGACCACAGGTTTGTACCACCAAGCATGCCTGTGTAGGTGCAGCCAAGGATCAACGTGGACCTCCTGAGCAGCCTTGACCTGGAGGTTCTGTGAGCTGCCACCCGGGGGCCGGGCAGGAAGGTGTCGGAGGCCAGCCTGAGTGCTCCTCCACCCGCGCCCCAGCTGTGCAGGTCTGGGGCCCCTCCCACTGCTAGGCACTGCCTGTGGGGAGCCAGCCAAGATTCACAGGCCGCGGTCACCTGAGGGTTTGGTTTCAAGGGCAAGTTTCCATTAGGCCTCCTTTGTAAAATAAGAATGAGGAACATGAAACCTGGGCAGTAGAGAACAGGGGAGGGCAAGGTAGGGAGGCATACAGGCCCAGGACCGGGTCCCAGCCCTCTGAGCATCCGGGAAGGGGCCTGGACCTCTCGCCTGCTCCTAGACTGCCCCAGGAATGGCCAGTGGCCTCTGGCCGAAGCCCCTCCTGACCTTCCCCCAAGCTGGAAGAGACCTGGTCAGAGCCCCAGGCTGTGTGGGGCACAGGCTGGCAGCCAGGAGACCCACGTCAGCGCTGCACCCTCCAGGCCCTTCTGCCTAATGGGGCTGGACAGCCGTCCCCCCTCAGCGGTCTTCAGAGCCGAGGCGGGGAGGCAGGGTCTAGGGGAGCATGCATCGAACTTGTCACAGCAGGGCTGCTCCGGGCCTGGGGTGAGGGTCCTAAACCCCACACTGTTTCCCCTCTCAGCCTGGGAACTCCAAGGGGCCCTGACCCATTTGTATTTGAGGTAGGAGAAAAGGACCCTAAAATATAGTTAGGCTATAGGCCCAAAGGGGAACCCCGAAATGGCTAAGTTTGCAGATGGAGGCAGCAGTTCGGCTGGCTGCTCAGACCTGCCGTGTGGCTCAGTGGCTGACCTGGGCAGCTGGACTTAGGTTCACAACAAAGGCATTGTCCAGGCCCCGCCTTCTGGGAAGAGGGAAAATAGTTTTCATAGCCCAGAGCCTCTAGACGAGGTCTCCTGACTTTCTGCCCGCTCCAAAATTAGGAGAACGACTAGACTCATCCAGCCGCGGGGGAGCACATGCGTGAGCCCCACCTACAAGCCTGAATAAGGCCCCTCGAACCAGCTACAGATCCCTCTCCCCAGTTCCTCTGGGCAACCCATTTTCCGGGACCTCCCCCCCTTCTTGGGAGCTGTTTTTTCTCCCCTCTCCTTCAGCAAAGTCCCCGCTCTGCTCGACCTACCCTGTGTCTATGTCTAATTCTTCCTGAGCGTGGGACAGACCAGGTCTCTCTGTGAGTGCCGGACCTGATCACCCCTGTCCCCCTGCCTTAAACATATTGTCCCTGGAATGGGAGGAGGAGGCGCAGGGGCAGAAGGAGCCCATTCTGAGGCAAAGGCAGAGAGGGCGAGCATGGCGATCCCCGAAGGGGCAGCCCTCTGTGGGGCGACCACGCTGGAGCCCTCCTGGCACTTGCCCCAGGCCCTCCTCTCCCCACCCAGCTTCTGCTTCCTACTGAAGACATTGCGTCCTCCATCTACCTGGTGCGTGGGAGGCCACAAAGAAAGCCACTGCCACCAACACACCCCTGATGCCGCCCCGGCACCGAAGCGTGGACCTGAGGCTCCAGACCCCGCTTCCCCACTTCTCCTTGCCCTGCAGGCAATCTGCAAAGCTGGTGAGCCCCTGCCTCCACCTGTACATACTCACTGGGGTGAGGGGGGCAGGAGGGCTGGGAGCCCCACCCCCACCCTCAGAGCTCCACAGTGCAAAGGAACTCAGGGAACCTCCCCCAGGGAGCCTCTGGTCCCCTTCTGCCTTCCCCCATCCAGCAGCTCGGGAAGAGGGATGCAGAGAACGAGGTGTCGGGAGGGTGACCGGGTTCAGGAGCACTGAAGGTCTCCCTTTCCCCAACAGCCAGATGGTCCCTCGTCAGCCGCTGGAGGCCCGGCAGGCACTGGGGACAGCTGGGGCGTGCTCATTGGCTGAGCCGAGCTGCTGACGGCGCCTGTTGACCCAGCTGACGCGCAGGCTGTGAGGCTGGAGCTCTGTCCTCCACCCCGCAGCCCCTGGGCGGGGTGGGGGTGGGGAGTCCCAGAGCCGCCAGGCATGGCTGGCCCAGAGCCTGTGCGGGTGGGGGAGAGCCTGTGCGGGTGGGGAGGGCGGGCCGGCCTGTTGGGGGCCGCACTGGGAGGTGCCTGGCTGTGTGCAGGAGCTGCTCCTCCTGCGCGTCGGAGTGCGCCTGTACCTGGGCATCTACAGGCTGGCAGTGTCTGATTCCCTGCTCCTGCGTTTGTCTGGGGGTTCCAGCATCGAGTGTGCGTGTGAGACCTCCTCGAGCCCCAGCCTCAGGCAGGGCTAGGATGGCAACCTGGCCTCTGGGGACAAGAGCCTAGCTGACTTGCAGGAACCAATTCTATGTCCTTCCCCAGGTCCCAAAGAAAGGGCAGGCTGGGCACAGGGACGCCTGCGTCCCTTCTCTGCTGCTCCCAGGACTGGTCCCTTGCACGACAGAGGCTCCCCTCAGCTGGGCTGGTGCTGGCTCTGAGCTTGGGCACTGAGTAGGGGAGGAAGGACAGAGCTGGCTGGGGCCCCAGAGCATCGCTGGGGAAGAGGTGCCCTGCTGTGGACACCTTCGGAGTGTCTGAGGTGACAGGTGGGAACAAATCCTACTCTTCAGAGGGGGAGAAGTATCTAGTTTCATTTGTTTTGTTTGTGGAGGGAGGTGTAAGAGACAGGCACCCTTGATGAGCCCCTCTGGCAAGCTGGGCACTGCTCACTCACTGGCCTGGTGAGGGGGTGGGAGCCCAGGGGACCCTGTTGGGCAGGAAGGGTGTGGTGCGGAGGGCAGAGCAGTTCAGAGGACTGCACCCCTAGTTTGGAGCAGAGAAGGGCAGAGATTTTCCTGGCCCCAGGCTGTGCCCCCATTCCCAGGTGATGGGATCCCCAGGTCTGAGGGCAGGAGGCAGGTGTGGCCATCACGACTCCCCCAAGATCTCCCAGGCCTACCTCGGTTTCCCCAGCTTTTTTCCTGGGACCTTCTTTCCCCGGCTGTGAACAGGGGACATCTCTCCTGTTTTTTCTGTGGCAAGAAGACATGCACGAGTAGAGAAAATAATTTAATAAAGAAACAGCGAGGTGCGTTCTCTACACCCAGTCTCAAAAGCAGCTTCTCTGGTTTTAGAAAAGAACCCCCCGGAAAGCTGTAGGTGTTGCGTCCCTCCCTAGCCAAACTCCCGCTGTCCTCCGAGCGCCCACCACGAGGCTCAGCAGCTCCATGGCAGAGGCGGGGAGACCCCGGCCCAGGATGCAGAAGGGGCTGGCCCGGGGTCACACGCTGAGGTAGCGGCAGTGTTGGGCCAGACCTGCCACGGGGCTGTGCTGGGGCTGTGCTCTCCCTCCCTGCCTCCCTGAAGCCTGAGGGGCTGGGGCAGTCCCCAAGCACCCCCTCCTGGACTCCAGCTCTGGCACAGGGTCCGCTCTGCAGGATGGGGTGCTCCCCAGAGAGAAAAGGAGGTGCAGATGACTAAGCCCTCCCCGTGCCCCCGGGCGAGGGCGAGGACCAGGCGTGGGCTTCTCAATTTGCCCGGCGTGGGAGACTGATTTCATGTGGATTGTCTCGAGTCCTGAGATGACAGCAAGGTAGTTCCCAGAGGGCTGGTGAGTTCCGTGGGGTGGTGTGCACGCCACGGGGTGGGCAGTCCCTGAGGGGCCTCCGAGTGCCCATTCCAGGCATGAGGGCAGCAAGAGGGAGTAAGGGCTCCAGGCTGGGTGGGTCAGGGCACAGCTGCCAGCTGGCGGGGTGTGGGCAGGAGCAGCAGTGCCCCGCGAGGGCCCTTGCCTTCTCAGAGCAGAAATGGCCGATGCTCGAGGCCCCAGAATGGACAGGCTCAGGACCCAGTGGACAGGCCACCACGTAACAGGTCTCATGGGGAAATACTGTCCTCCCAGAGTCCCTGCCAAGACCTAATGCTCCTGGCACACGAAGCAGGCTGGGACACGTGGAGACCCCCAGGTCAAGGACCCTGGGGCTCGGGGGTCTCAAGGTTGCCCCTCTAAGAAGCCTGCTCCCTGGGCTGCAGAGAGCTGTGGAGTTCCTGGTACCAGCCTGGGGTACGCCCTTCCGCTCCTGGGGCCTGCGGTCAGTCCAGGCGTCCTTGGGTCACTGCAGGGTGCAGGCTGTGTGGGGAGCAGGGAGGGTCAGTCCCGGTCTGCAGCACTTGAGCAGGTCCCAGGGCTGCCCCCAGCCCACCCCACCCCACCCCTCCCTGCGTGGAGGGTCAGCCCTCAGGGCAGGACTCACAGCTGCGGACAGACTCGGACAGCCCCTCTTTGTCCAGAGAATCCGCTTCCCAGCGAGACTCCTTCATCTGTGGGTGTGGGCACGGCGAAGCAGGGTTAGTGGCAGCCAGAGGCCGACAGCCCTGGGAACCAGGAGTGTGGAGACGGGACTGGGATGGGGTCTAGAGGGAGATGCATGGGGGTGGGGCGGAGGGCTGGCACAGGCCGCACAGCCATACCCACCTTGATCTGCTCCTTCAGGCACTCAGCTCGAGCCATGAGGGTCTGAACCTGCCACGGGAGCACATGCCCACGGGTGGGCATGGGGATCAAAACCGGGCTCCTCCTCACCCCAGGCTCTCCAGAACCCTCTGCCCCAATGCAGTCCCTTATCTGCTCTCCCTCCTCCGGGAGGCCTTCCTGACTGCACCGCCCAGCTGGCTGCCTGCTGCTGGGTTCCCTGATCCCGGCTATCTCGTGGCCCAACCTGAGCACCCTAGCCCTGATGGCGCATGGGCCGCTGAGGTTCAGAACACCCAGAGGGAGTTGGAAGAGATCCCCACTGTCGGGCAGATTAGAAGGGGAGGAGGGAGCCCCCAACCCTCCTGAGCCGGTGGGCACCTCAGCATGCAGCAGCTCCCGCCTGCGGCCTGAGGGCTCCGCTGTAAAGAGAGGGCACGTGGTGAGGTCGGGCAGTGGCCAGGGCCGGGGCAGGGTGACGGGGCCTCACCGGCCAGCAGCAGCAGCAGCTCCCCCAGCCCGTGCTGGTACAGGTCCAGGGCATCCTGCTCCTTGCCAGCTTCCTCCTCCTGCAGCGACGGGGCACAGGTGGGCTGCGGTCCCCACCGGAGTCCTCCCTGCCCCAGGACCCTCCCCCTGGGCACGCACCTTGGCCATGGCAGCCGAAGCCACGTCTAGGGCAGCGAGGAGGCGTGGCTTGTCGCGGGCCATCTCTGCGGTGAGAGGCTCAGGGTGAGGGGAGCAGTCCGTCTCCCCGGGGAGCCTGCCCCATGGCCGGGCACCCACGCCTACCTCGGAGCAGGCCCCGGGCAGAGGTGCCCTGCCGCAGCAGGGCCTGGTTGGAGGACGAGACGATGGCCTTGAGCTCCTCGGCCCGGGACACGTACTGCCCCACCTGTGGGAGGGCCAGGTCAGTGACTGCTCCCAGCTGTGAGCACATCCGGGGACGTTCCTGTGTGAAGACAGCCAGTCCCCGGAAACCCCAGGGCCTCGTCCTCTCCCTGCACCCCCACTGGTGTGCTCTTGGGGCTCTCACTCACCCACCTTTGCCTTAATTGCCTCCTTCCGCTGGGTGTCCACCTCGTCTGCAGAAGGTGGGGCGTGTGTGAGGGATCTGGGAGGGGGGACCCCGGCCCACACCGAACCCTCCGGAACCCCCCAAAGCATTGCATTCTGGGTTTAGGCTCTGCTTCTCCCACAAGCTCCCAGATGGGGCACTCCTGGATCCGTCCTCCACAGGGACCGCGGGCCCACCCTGTGCCCGGGGCCGCGCTCGGCCACTCACAGTGTAGGGCCGGCACCAGGAAGTCCAGGGCCTGGCAGTAGAGAGACAGGGCGGCCGCGGCGTCACCCTCCTGGTCCTTCTTCACAGCCTGCACCACCAGCGAGGTCTGGGGCCAGGCAGGGCGGGGGTCAGGTGCCTCCCTGCCTCCCCGACACCACGGCCACTCTGCCTGGTGAGACCCCAGCCGGCCCTCGCCCGCCCATCCCTGCTGGCCTGCTCACCGCGCGTGCCAGGCTCTCCCCACTGGGCATATGCTCCAGGTCCACCCAGGGGTGGGCGAAGAAGTCCTGGAAGGAGATGCGCCGGCCAGGGTCCCGCTCCAGAAGCCGCCGCAGCAGGTCCCGGCAGTCTCGGGAGAGCGGGGGCCGCAGCGGGAGCTGGGCCGGGTGGGGGGCAGGTCATGCTGGGCTCTGACACCTCGGCCCCCAGCCCAGAGACCTGTCAGGACAACCCTCAGCCCCTCAGGCAAAGCTCTGAGACCCAGAGGACAAGATCAGCTGCAGACGGTGACAGTGACAAAGTCAGCAGAGGCCAGGCTCCTGCCCAGGCCCTCAGGGGGACCCTGGGCTGCTGGAGAGCCCTGTTTAGGGGCCAGCCCTCCCCTGGACTACGCTTCTGGGGAGGCTGGCCTGGCTCTGCCGTGGGCTCTCCTCACAGAAGCCCGCCTATGCTCTGTGGGGCAGGCTCCCTGCTGCCTGCCGGGGGCTGATCTGGGTCCCTGGGACAGACAGAGTCTCGACTTCTATAAGGCCCCACCACCAGGAGGGAGCTCAGTGCCTGCACCCCAGACTGTACAGATGGACAGAGGTCCAGAACCTTAGGGCCCTGACTCCCCCTGCCCCCTACGGTTGCCAGGGCCCTGTCAGACCCACCTCTATGACCCGGTTGCTGCGGATCTTCTCTTCCAGCTCCAAGAATGACCTGGAGGCAAAGGGGGGCTGCCCAAAGAGGGCTTCTGTGGGAGGGAGACAGAGGGGCTGTGAGCAGGGGGTGGGTCGAACCTGGTTTGACTCATTCCTCGGGCAGGGCCCACCACCCCTCAGAGCAGGGGCTGGGCCAGAAATCAGCCTCACCAGGCCCTTAGGGAGTGGCCCCAAGGGCCTGCCCAAGGACGCGCAGTGCTGGCCCCAGGAGGGGGGACAGGCTCTCACCGTACAGGATGACCCCCACGGACCAGAGGTCCACGCGGGCGTCGTACTGCCGCCGGCACACCATCTCGGGGGCCATGTAGAGGGGGGAGCCGCGGAGCACGTGTTTCTCGTCCCACGGAGACATGTGCTGTGCGAAGCCGAAGTCTGTAGGCAGAAGCCAGATGGCAGGGCTCAGGTACATGGCCGTGCTGGCCTGGGAGCCCTGGAGGGCCCCTCCACTTCCAGACTCAGAGGGTCAATGCTGCTTCCCAGTCTGTGGCCACCCTCTCCTGGGGTGCACATCCCACATGGTCCTCAGACACCTTTTCCCCCTGAAACCCACCGGGCCACACAGCTATGTGGTCATGCCATGCCCTGCACTCTCCCAGAGAGCTTGGCTTATACCATGCCCTCTGGCCCCTGGCACAAGAAAATTCTCATCCAAGTTCTGTTGGCCCCCTACTTTCCCATGCCACCACAGACTGAGTCAGTTTGAACCCCAATCCTGACGACTGACCAAGGCTGTGTGATCAGCATCACACCCTGAACCCTGGCACTGTCCCCAGACAGAGCCCCAGACCTGGCCACAGGCTGAGCCCTGACTCTACCCACACACAGGGGACTTGAGTGCAGGCAGCCTGAGGGTGGGCCCCTTTCGGTGATGGGGCCGGGCCCTGACCTCCGGCCTGTCCCTGTGTGATGACTCAACAGAAGGCCCCGCAACAGCCAGCACTGTGCGGTGAGCCCTGGCACCGGAGGTGTCTGCACCCTCCCTGAGCCTCCGTCCCGTCCCAGACGCAGACCTGCCAGTTTCAGGTGGGGCTTCTCCAAGGAGCTCAGCAGGATGTTCTGTGGCTTCAGGTCCAGGTGGGCGATGTTCCGCTCATGCAGAAACTGCAGGGCACTCGCTGGGGGCAGGATGGGTGCAGAGACAGGTCAGAGGGGACGTCTGTCACCTGGCCTTCACATTCCCAGGCCTGTGCCCGTCTCTTCCACTTGCATGTTCTGGCCTGGCTGGTCCAGAAATGCTTTGTGGCCAGCACCAGGCTCCTGACACTTCTAAGAGGTTGCAGCCCCACCTGAAACGTCCGCCTCCCTCCCTTCTGCCACTTCACAACTCGCTCCTCCTCCGGTATAGGGCGTGTACGCTCATCAGAGAGACAGAGAGAGAGTGAGACAGAAAGTGAAAAATCACCCCCTGGGGGTATGGCCATGCTTCAATCCCTTCTCCTCCATTCTCACTGTGGGATATGGGGCATGCACACACATGTGCCCGGCATGAGTGTCAAATCTCTGGCTCTGGGACACAAACTTGCTGGCCACGTGGGAATCCAGTGGTTAGCCACGTGGGAGTCCAGCAATGTAACCATGACGCCATCTGCTGGTCTCAAATAAATAATTCATAAGAAAATAAAAATCCAAGCTGGGGAGGGTCCCAGGACCCTGGCAGGACACCCTAGCAGGCCAGCCAGCGACCCCGATCCCATGTGCATGTATGTGCATGTACGTGTGTGTAGGGGGAAGAGAACCTCAGTCCCACTGATTGCAGGAAGACAAGCGAATGCTACCAAACCACCACCAGCGAGGGAAAGACAGCTTTCTTTTTCCTTTTCTCTTGGGCAGGAGACCACTGCGAGGCTTGCCAGGGTTCTACACCTGGGGCAGGGGTGGGGGCGGAGGGGCAGAGAACATGAGAAAGTCAGAGGCTCTCACCCAACTGCTGCATGAAGATTCGAGCCACCTTCTCTGGCAGAATCCTGCGAGCATGGATGAAGCGGGACAGGTCGCCCCCTGCGCAGAATTCCATGATGAGGTAGATGTTGTCGCTGTCCCACTGTGGTTAGAGGCAGAGAGGCAGCCTGAAGCCAGCGTCCCTTCCCCAGCCGCCTCTGGGGGCGGCCCCACCCCAGGCGCGCACCTGGAAGTCTTTCAGCTGCACGATATGGGGGTGTCGAATGCCCTTGAGGATCTCGATCTCCGTCAGGAGGTTTTCCACTGATGCCTTGTTCAGACTCTTCTTGGCCACACACTTTATGGCCACTACCTCGCGAGTGTCCTTCTGAGGGGACAGGAGACTTGGGGGCTCTGGCTGGAAGGGCTCTGGTTCCCTCTGTCCCCTCCCGGCCTGCCGGTTCCTTCCACACCGGCAGCCTGGCTCTCCAGCCCAGCCTGGGTGCTCTGAGCCGCGCGCAGTAATCAGCTCCGCATTCTGCATTCCCGGGCGCCCATGAGGCTGCGCTGAGCGCTCGGGGCCCACTCCGCCTCCTAACTGGGTCCGGCCTTGCAGAGCCGGCCCAGGCTCCTCCCAGCCCACCGGGCAGCTTCCGTTTTGAGCCCGTTTTTCAGTCCCTGACAGCCTAGGCGACAGCCAGGTCTGCACCTGCCCCTCCAGACAAAGCAGCGATGTGTACATGTGTGTTTGGGGACCTCGGAGCGGCGGTCAGCTCCGACCTGCTCCGCCGAGGGAGCTCGGGCATCCTGGGCCTACCAGCCCGCAATCCTCTTCTGGTCTCCCCGGCGGCAACCACGGGGCTGCTCCGGGATGGCGGGCCCAGGGGCCCCTCCGGGAGGCCCGCCCACACCCACCTTGGCGTAGGCCTTGTACACCGTGGCGTACGTGCCACTGCCCAGGCGCTCGGTGAGGATGAAGCCGTCTAGCCGCGGGGGGCCCCAGCCGGGCCCTGCCATCCCGCCTGCCCGGTGCCCGCAGCCAGGAGCTTCCTGGTTGCTAGCCCGGGTTCCGGCGGGGAGCGGAGCGGGGAGAACCGGGCGGAGAGACTGGACTCCACGCTGCCCCCAGCGCCGCCCTCCGGAAGTGCGGCTCGCAGGGCGGGGCCAGTGGGGGCGAGGCTCCGCCCCTAAGGCTCCTCCCCGGCGCTTGCCCTGCCTCTACTCGCGCGAGGTGCCCGCAGATCCGCGTCTCTGCGAGATCCATTTGGGCACCCTGAGGCCGCTGCGGGCGGGGACAGCAGACGCTGCTAACCCAGGGAATTCTACCAAGGTGCGAAAAGTATCCCGGAAGTCAGAAGGAGCCCAGCTGAGCAGGTATGTGGCTGGAGGGAGGATATTCCACCCCCCCACCCCCCCCACCCCGTTATCTCCCCCAAAGACCAGCAGCTCTGGAAGTACTGAGATGTGACCGTGCCTCTTCCCTCTGGAAGAGGCCACGCTGCCTTCTCCAGGCCTTCTGTCTGCCTTTCATTCCTCTGAGGAAAGGGACCGTCCACAGAGGTGAGGGGCTCGACCAGCCAGGTGGCACCTAAATTGCTCCAGGAGGGCCTCTGCCCCTTTCCCAGTGGACCACACGTCCTCCCGAGTCCACCACACGAGGGTCAGTGTTGTCTGAAAATGTCTTTTTATTTAAGCACAAAAATCGAGATATAACATATACATTTGTACATGGAGAAAAAATACCAGAAAGGCATTTATAAAACCCTGGCCCTGTCACTGTCATTCAGTGGCTCTGGGCTCCAGAGGGCTGACAGCCCAGGTCTGCCGGAGAGTGCACCCAGGCCAGAGGCAGGGGGGTGGCCAGCTTGGTGAGAAGTTCCAGCGGTCCACAGCCACTCTGCAGGTTTTAAGGGTGGACTCCTGGGTACCCATCACAGTGACCCCCCCGGGAATCCCCAGGGCCAGTGGAAGGGGCCCTAGACTGCACTCAGGGCACAGAGGTAACCCTGGACTAGTCTGGCTCCTCAGTCCCACCTGCAATCTGCAGGGCTGCACTGACGGCCTGGCCTCGCTCAGAGTCGTGCAAGCTGGATACTGCCGGCGGAGGGGCGGCGTGGGGGGAGATTGAGGCTAAGGCAAGGGCAGCTGTCCCTCTCGAGTCCAGAGGACAGTCAGAAAGGCTGGGGGGACACGCTGGGGCAGTGTCCTCTCCTGCCTCACTTTCAAATGTCAGCCAACTCTACTGCACATTCAGGGTCGGAAAAGGGTGCAAAGGGCCCTGGGGGCACGAGGTCCCACCCACACTGGGACGAGGCAGAGCCTGAAAGGGCCACAAATCTGCTGAGGGCTTGGGGCAGGAGGAGCCTGGGGCAGCCAGGCCAGAGACCACCCCAGAGTGACCTGGGGAACAAAGCTGTCCACCACCAGACTGCCTTGCCAGGTGGAGCCCGCAGGCGGCTTATCCCCACCAGACGGGAAGGGTGGTGCTGTGGCCACAGGCCGTGTGCAGCCAGGTTCAGGCCAGGCCTGCTGGGAGGAGTGGGTCCCAGGACACTGGAGGAGGCCCTAGCAGGTCGGCCAGTGATCCAGACCCCGTGGGCATGGGTGTGCATGTGTGTGCATGTGTGTGGGTAGTGGGGAGAGCACTTCAGTCCCACTGATTCCAGGGAGACAAAGGAATCCTACCAAACCACCACCAGAGAGGGAAAGACAGCTTTTTTTTTTTCTTTTCTCTTAAGTAAAAAGTCCCTGTCCCTCCCTTCTCCTGGTGGAAGGGACAGCTGGTGGCTGAGGAAGGAGGAAGAGCCATGGCAAGGCCCTCGCCAGGTCTGTGCCAGGCACAGCCACCAGATAAGGCACCGCGGAAAGTGCAGCTCAGAAGGCAGGCAGGCGAGAGGGGAGGCTGGGCCACGGGCGGTCAGAGGACTAATTGCCCTGGAAGGCGCTTTGGGCAGCCGACGAGGCAGCACTGCGGAAGGTCCTGTTGCTGAAGATGCCCTGGGAAAACTCCTCCTGGGCCTGCTGGAAGCTGGCCCCCGTCCGGCGGTATAGGGAGTGCACCTGGGAAAGGAAGCTGGGTGAGAGGGGCCTGTCCTTGGGCCATCCAGGCTCTACTCAGAGTCTTGCACAAAGGCACTCGACCTTTGGGGACCCAGGAAGCCTGGCTGCAGGGGAGACACCCTGTGGGAAGGGGGCAGGGGTCTGCCCTCGGACTCGCAGCAGGGCGAGCTCCCACCACTCACTCGCTTCAGGAGGAAGAGGGAGAGCGCGGCACACAGGGTGAAGAAGCCAGCCACCACCATCATGATGATCGACACGGCCAACGACTCGTGCTCCAGCGTGGACAGGGCTGCGATCCAACCACTGCAAAGGGGAGCAGGGAACATGGACAGAGCCCACAGGGCCCCGCCAAGAGCACTTCTCCAAGTGTGGCGTCCCAACCACTGCCTCGGCATCTCCCTGCACATGGCGAGTCTGCGGGCCGGAAGGTCTTGGACCGTGAGTGTAACCAGCAGGCCTCCGTGAAGATGCAGCCCTTTGACCGTGGGCTTCCCAACCTCTAGCACTGGGAGCCAACCTTTCCTGCCTGTAAGGGACCAGGCCGTGGCACTGTTACAGCAGCACAGAATGGACTGTGAGGGTTGGCGAGGACGTGGGGAGATGGACCCTCACGTCGCTGGTGGGAACAGTTAAGTGGTTCCTCAGAATCTAACACAGAATGGCCACACAGCACAGCCGCTGTACTCCTGGGTCGATTTCAAAAGAAGTGAGAATGGAGTCAAACACTTAGACTCCGGTGTGCAGAGGAGCACTAATCCCAGCGGCAAAAAAGTGGAAACGGGCTGGCAGGTGGGGTGTGGTTAACGGTGCTGGACTCTCAGATGGCCAACCATGGTTCAAGTCCCAGACCTGGTGGCTTGCTTTCTCACTCTCTGGTAAAAATTTAAAATAAATAAATATACGCCAACTGCTGGTCACCTAAATACAATAATTCTTAGAAAGAAAAGTGGAAACCACCCAAATGTCCACCAGCCAACCAACGGACAAAGCACAGTACGCCCCACGATGGCACACCACCCCGCCCCAGAAAGGACGGAGCGCTGGCCGTGCTCTGCATGGATGAACCTAGCAACACGACGGAAGAAGCAAGGCCACGCCCCGTATGGTTCCAGAGGTAGGAGTGTCCAGGCCAGGCCAGGCCCCAGAGCAGAAGCGTGGTCCGATGGGTGGCTGCCAGGGCTCAGGGAAGGAAGCAGGAGGTGGGACCCCATGGGGGTGCAGTTTCTCCCTGGGGCGATACAGACGTCCTAGAACTGGACGGGGCTGTGACCGCAGGCGCTGTGAGTGCCAAATGCCACGGGACTGTACCCTTTGGGAGGCGTCAGTGGTAGAGAAAGTGGGAAATGCTGTGTGTGACAGCTGAGGATGCGACGGGGGTTACACCACCTGCAGGTGCGAGTTGTAAAGTAGGATGAGAAAATGGTGACGGGAGGTCCCAGAAAGGCCTGGGAGGCTGGAGGCTGCAGAGCCATCCTGGCCTACAAGTCGGACCCAGCCCAGGACGCAAGCAGCACTTAGTAACCACAGCCTTCCGTTTTTCTGAGCGAGGGGATTTTGTTATAGGGCACGTACACTTGCCAGAAGGACAGAAAGCGGGAAATCACCCCCCCCCCCGGGGGGAGGCGCGGGCGCAACTCCCCCCAATGGCCGTGCCGCAATCCCCTCTCTTCCATTCTCCTCTCAGGATCTTGGGCACATATGCCCACGTGCCCAGTGTGAGTTTAAGCCACCGGATCTGGGACTTGAACTGCGGGCGGCTACATGGGAGTCCAGCAACACAACCATTATGCCAACTGCTGGTCCCTAACCACCGCCTTTCTAAGAGCCTCTCACTTGGGGAATGGGAAATGAAACCACGTCAGTGACCAAAAGTGTCCAGAGCAGAAACGGCAGGGCGGAGAAGGGGGCGGTGGGTGGGCCGCATGCCCTTGCTCGGGATGCGAGTCGGCCCTCCTCCCCCCACCTCTCTGGACTTGCCAGCTCTGCCAAAGGGAGGCAACCCGAGCAGTGCCGCCCTTCCAGGCACAGGCTCTCAGCCAAGTGCCAGCTGACCTTTCTGCAATGCTCCCTGTGCACTGGGAGAGACGGGAAAACAGCTTCTCTTCTTGTGACCGGCTGAGCCGAGGACTCAGGTGCCCAGGACAGTCCGGCCAGCCACAAGCTCGAGAGAGGGCGCAGGCAGCAGCCTGTCCGGAGGAGGATAGGGCCTATCTCTTGACGTTTTGAGGCTGCTGGAAATACGTGCAGCTCAGGGTCTGCACAGGCCAGGTGCCCATCAGCCCTGGAGGGTGTGCCCGGAAAAAAGGCAGAGCCTGCAATCCAGGCCAGGGCACAGCCCTGGGGGCTTGAAGACGCCGGCCATGTTTAGCCCTGACACTTGAGGAAAGGGGACCCAGGAAAGACAGGGCGTGGTTACGTGGGGCCATGGCAGATCCCAGCGGCCGGGCCACCCCTCCCCGCTGGGGTAGCAGTAGTCGTCTGTGGGGCTCTCTAGAAGACAGGGCAAGAGCTGAGCCCCACATCCAAGGCCTCACCCCCGTGACACCCCAGGTCTCACCTATCCCCCAGGCCAGGGATGCCAACCAGCTGAATGATGTAGATCCCTATTTGACAAAAAAATACAAAGAAGAACACGAAGAAGCTGAAGGAGTTGTCGGACCTGTGGAGAGAGGGCAGGCAGTCAGGAGGGCGCCTAGGGCCACAGTCCTCCACATTCCTCGCTGGGCTCACATCCCACCAAGAGGCAGGAGGGCCCGAGGCGGAGCTCCGGGGGACCAGCCGCTGTCCACAAGGACCTGCCCACCTGGCATCTGCCCCGTAAGCAAGAAGGCCCTGCTTTTCTCTGCATTCCCAGGTAAGGGGTTACGCTCACACCTTCCTCAGGAGCAGGTAAAGCTGCTCCCACAAGGACAACAAAGAGCCTACCTCTCGTTCTCCTGCCATATTTATTTGCATATTATTGGGCTGTTGGAAAAGTCGTGATGTATTTTTGCATAAAGACATAGAAAAATATGTCATGAGTTTTCTGATGACCCAATATAACAGCAAAAGAAAGGCACGAATCTCTAAGACTGAAACCAGAAGCCTGGTGAAAGGTGTGTGGGGAGGAGGGAACACCTGATAAAATGCCTCCGGGCTTGAGCACTAGAGGGTGGAATGCAGGGAGGCGCAGGCCCTGCCTTAGACGTGTGGGGGTTCCTTGGGCCTGCTGGGTTTCCAGCCCTAAAAGTGTGCACCTGAGCGGCCAGCAGGTGGTGTGCTGTGTGTGACAGCTGGTTAAGGCACTGGATCCCACATGGCCGACTGTGTGGTTCGAGCCTTGGACCCTGTGGTTTTTTGGGGAAAAAAACAAAGCATGCTAGCAGTGGGTCCGTACATGTCCAAAATCTTGAGAGAATTAGAGAAGGGACTGTGGTGTGGCCATCCCCCCAGGGGAACTTCTCGCTTTTCCTCTCTCTCTGATGAGCACACATGCCCGGTAGCATTAAAAATAGAAAAGCATCCCCTTGAGGTACGAGTCAGCCCCCAGGGCCGTGCGGTCACCATGAATGCCCGCGCACATGGTACTGGCCCAGGCACTGTGCTCACGTTGCTCGCGTGTGTGGGAGCAGGAGTCAGCAGAGAGGCCATTGAGAGCGCCTGTCTGAAGCTACGAGGGCAGCAGCCTCCGGTCAGAGGGCAGTTCCCTAAAGAGGGCCCCCTCGGCCCAGGGATGGAATATCACTGTCTCAGTCAGGCCGGGAGCAGTGTGGTGGTGGGCAGGGTCTAAGGCCAAGAACAGGGCCCAGCCCCGACGTGGGCACGACCACAGCACAGCACGGCTCCTGGTCGCTGTCTGCCCTGGCTGTGGGTGGGGATGGAGAACTGCACTCCCCATCACTCTGTTCTGCTCCAAGACCGCGCTGGTGCTCCAGAGCTAGCCCTCAACTGCACCTGGGCACTGGCCACATGCTGCCCGCTGCCCAGCCCCCCTCACCTGAAAGCCTTGTAGATGGGCCGGTACCAACATAGGAAGGCACAGGGGGTGAAGATCAGAAACCACAGGATCGAGAGGCCGAAGTCCACGCCCTTGGAGCCGTCCCCCGTGAACCAGGCCAGGCAGGCCAGCAGGTTCAGGAACAGGGTCACTGAGTGCACTGGGAGGACAGAGCAGAGAGGGCTGCAAGGAGGCTGGGGGCCCCACCCGAGCCCTGCCCAGGAGAGGAGGAGAGGAGGCAGGTCCCCGCTGTGAGAGCAGTGTAGGCACCGGAGACACCCGTGCCAGGCAGGGACCTGCTCACGTGTCCTCTCAAATCCCGGTTTTCTGAGCCCTCAAAACAGGGACCAAGCTAAATACTGGAGGGGTGATGGGGCCCCAAGTGTTTAGGAGGTGGGTGTGGTGGGGTGCAGCTCGGGGCTGATCCCTGGGGAACACGGTCTATCTCGGCATCTCTTTTCCCTGGCCCCTGATGGCCTGCAGGAAAGGGCGGCTTTTACCTGCGGAGGGCCTGGCAGTGCAATGAGCTCCACGGGGACTTGTGAGTCTCTGGCCAGCCCCACCCTACCTGCTCTGTGGTCTGAACTACCTCTGTATCCGAGGTCCCCAGACAGAGCGGTCTAAGTGCAGAAGGGACCTCGCCATGCCAGCCCAGGCACAGGGAAGGCTGGAGTCTGCAGAAAGTCTGTGCCCCGTGAGGAGCAGCCACGCCAGGGCAGGCTCCCAGCCACACCCATCACCCTCGAGCTCGGTGGGCAGCGCACTCACACATCCAGAGGTAGTAGAGCATCTTGCATATCCGCTGGTAGTCGGCAGGGATCTCCGTGGAGAAGTCCTGGTAGAAGCAGGGCCTGATGGGGCACCATGAGGGCAGCGGCGGCCAGTTGTTCTCTCTCACTGTGTGGGAAGAGGCGAGGGCCCAGTCTCAGCCCAGTTCATGGCCAACCCGTGGCTTCCTGAGGGGCCCCGACAAGCAGGGCTTGGAGTCTTCAAGGAGCACAGTGTGGGGCAGGGAGGTAATGGGACCTAGGACACCCACATACACACTCCCAGGAGAAGGCCCCCGGAGTGCTGGTTATCAGAGCCAAGCAGCCTGGGCAGTCATTTGTATCAACAGTCAGCCCACACGCACAACGACCAGGGACACAGCAAGGGCAAGGGGCCATGGGACCATCAACCCGATGCTGTCAGAGAACCAGAGCATTTTAGGGCTGGGAAGGAGTGCAGAGACAATCCACACCCACTGGGACTCCACTGCAGGGTGCCTGACTCCGCCTCACCGCTCTCCCCAGGAGGAGCCGCCTTCTGAGCTGAGTAAGAGTGCTCCACGTTCAGTGGTGGCATCTGGAGGACCAGCCAGGGTGCATGGGGAGGGCCCTCTGGGCAGGGCTCAGGACACCGTCCTGTGCCAGGGAGACCCCAGGCAGCCTCTTACCGTGCAGGCTGGCCATGGTGTTCTGCAGCTCCCGCTCCTTGCGGTCCAGCTCGGCGGCCTTCCGGTCCAGCTCTTCCTGCTGCCGGAGCAGGCCTGCTTGGGCTGCAGATGCCACAGCCTGGAGGGAGCAGGGCAGGTGGGGCAGGGGTGGCCGGACACAAGAGACAGAGGGACAGTGTCAGCCTGGGCAGGCAGTCTGAGGGGCCTTGCAGGCAGGAGAGCCAGCAGAGGGTCCCAGAAGCAGTTGCAGCCCCACAGTGCTGGGCACCAGAGACCACAAGAGAGAGGCCACGACGGCCTATCCACTGCCTGGCACCACCTCTGGCCCTGTGGCCATTACCAAGGCCCTCCTCTCCCCTTCGCCCACAGCCTGAGGTAGGAGACCCCAGTGGCTTCCCCTCCTCTCTGGAACCCAGGCACAGTTCGGTTACAGTTACCTTTCGGGTGATAGCGAAGCGGAGACCTCACAAGGGACTAACCTCTAGCCAGAAAGCAGAGACCTAAGCCTCATCTGAGATCCTGGACGCTGTGTGTGTGAGAGCAACAGTGCAAACCTGCTGGTAGTCAGTGTGCAGGGGACCCTGCAGTGCGGCCTGTGTGACCTGTACCTTGGGATCTGCATTTGAACATCACCCACCCACGCTCTACCCCTAGAAGCACCCTCTCGAGGTCCACTGGAACTGGGCGGAGCCCCTGAACTCGGCGGGCTAAACCTGAGGGTCCTTCAGCCGTGGCTAGCCTCTGCCTGGCTTCCATGTGTCGAGACTCAGCGTTTATCTCCCCTGCAGGCACAGCAGGGCCTAAGCGATGCAGTCAGGGACTGGGGTGTGGTTGGGTACAAGCTGGCACCCCGAGTTCCAGCCCGGGACCTGCCCCTGTGGCTGCAGCTGTGCTGGGCCAGATTCCTCCTAAAGAACGAGACCATGGTCCTTTTTAGGAAGCCGATACCAAACGGTCATTCTGCAGGATGACTGAGGCATGTATGCATGTGTGCACAGGCACGCCTCCAAAGAGAGATGCCCAAAGAGCTGCGGTGGCCTTTGAGAGGCGATTCCAGACATCGGGGGCAGAAGCAGGAGCAGACCTGACTCCGCTGTGCAGCTCATGGAGCACTCTTACTTAGCTCTGCTCCCAAGTCTGCAGCCTCGGCTGACAGGACCCCAGTCCCTGCGGCCCACCGCTCGGCTGACAACCCCTGCAGGTCAGGCTCACCTCACCTCCACAGGGCTCGAGGGCTATGTGAGGGCCCAGGGGCCCAGCACAGGCAGGGTCCAGGCACCCGGCCCCCCGCTCATCTACACTCAGCCTACCTTGGGAAGCTTTCGCATGTAGCTGTCTCTGAGAACACTATCTCCTCCTAGCAGCATCTGCCTCTCTGAGAGCGTGCTCACTGCCAGGAATCGGCTAGGCAGGAACTTGCCGGCCTGTCTAAGCAGGAGCTGCAACACACGACGCCATGTGGGTCCCGCCCGCGGGTGCCGAGGGGCGTGGGGGTGCAGAGCAGTGAGCCACAGAGTGCGCTGCCGGGCTCAAAGCAGGAAGAGGGGCACGGGGAAACAGCAAGGAGAGCAGGAGTAAACGAGGCAAGAAAAGACATCCTGGGCCTCAAGGAAGAGGGCACGAGCCAAAGGCCAGGAGGACCCGCATGGCACATGAGGACAATGGTCTCCCTGCACGCCGAGGCCCCGCCTGGTGAGTGGGGACTGGGTGAGGCTGCTGGTTGGCAGAGCGGTCCCTCCACTTGCAAGTGACCAGCTCCAAAGAAATAAGCAAGAGGGTCTTCGAAGGACACCAGGGAATAAGCCCTCTGCCTGTGTTACTGCCCCGCCCCACCCCTCCTCCTGCCTCGGGGCTTAGCTCCTGGTCTGGGCAGTCCCCGCTGGAGAGGAGAGGCCAAAGGCCTCTGTGCTGCCATACCTGGGGGGTTGGCTGGGCTGGTTCCACCGAGGGCTGCAGGACTGCCGGCTGCGAGGGCCCAGGGGGTTGGGCGACAGGCACGGTTGTGGCTGCATTTGTCTGTGGGACAGAGCACGGGAGGGGCGTGTGTGGGCTCTGCCAGGGGCACCCTGCAGGGTGGGGGTGTGCTCTGCCTGGAGGGCCACTCCTCTGGGCTGCCGGGAGCTTTCTCTGCAGCTTCTTGGCCACCGAGCCTCAGGTCACAGCAAAGGCCCCTAGCCCCGGCCTCAAAGGACCCCGAGCTCTCCAGCATCTCCTTGTCCTTGAGGGAGGGGCCCAGATGGTGGGTCCCCAGAGGAGACTCGCAGAGGCCTTTGGTGACTGCCCCACCTTACCCCACCCTGGTTTACTGTAGGACTGTTCCTCTGAGGACGGCAGCTTCTCAGAGCTGCTTCGGTGTTTGCAAGGCCCTCTGCCCCAGAGACCCCAGCACACCCCAGAGGACCCAGAGTGCACGCTCACCAACCTCGGAGAAGGGGTTGAATTCAGCCAGGCCACCCTGCGGGGCGTTAGTCAGCTGGGTCACGGAGGGATCCTGGGTGAGAGAGAGATGTTAGACACGGGGCAGGCAGGAGCCTGGGGCCAGGGGCCAGGGGCCAGTGACTGGCTGCAGCGAGGTTGCCGCGTACCCCGCAGTGCCCTGAGGAGCCTCTCCTGAAGGTTTCTGGACACGACGCAGGATGACAGACAGGTGTACGTGTACACATGCGCACACGCAACAAAAGGAGACGGTCCAAAGGGCTATGGTCACCCTCGCGAGGGGCAAGCAGGGGCAGACCTGACCCCGCTGTGCCACGCTCAGTCGCAGCTCTGCTCCCCACTGTCTACGGCTTCGGCCGACCAGGCCCCAGGTCCCGGCCCATCACTGGGTGAAACACCAAGCCACCCCTGCATGTCAGGCTCAGCTCACCTCCACGGGGCTCTAGGGCAGTGGGAGGGGCCTGGGGTCCAGCCCGGCTCTCTACACTCGGCCACCGCCTCCTCCCGGGGCTGTTCACCAGGCCTGCCGTCCCCTCTCTCTCTCTGGAGGAGGTTCAGATGCCATCCCAGAGGAGACCCCAGGCAAGCTGTCCACACCGAGGCCAGGTCCCCGGCCACCCCACATTTCCCCACAGGGAGTGGCTGCCGGTGTTTCAGGTGGTGGTCGTGGGAGGTGAAGGAGGCGCTGGGCCTGGGCTGACTCGTCTGGTCTCGCCCAGCCTTTGTGTCCTGGCTTTAAACTGCCCCACAGAAAGCATTTATTCCTCTTATTTTTTAAAGGCCAGTGTGAGGTTCTGGAACAAAAGCACGCTTTCAGCTGCCAATGCTAATTTCATTAAATCAGCCACGCTTGCTAGGAGAGAGGAGAGGCCCAGATGAAAATGCAAGAAAATGTTTTTGGTCTTTGGTGTTTTTCCCTTGGAGTCTTTTCAAAAAAAATGCAAAAATGTCCTCAGAATCCACTTTTCAGCCCTCCCTTTCTGTCTGATCTCTACACAGGGCTCCTGTCGCCTTTTCATTGGAGCTGCTCTTACAGGCCCTGGGCGGTCTGTCCGCACCCCGCCCCCTTCCCTGTACTAGGTGCCGCAGGGCACTGCAGGAGGGGCGGCCCCAGGCTCTGCACCTGGCCCTGGCCCTCACTGCTCTGCCAGAGGCTCCCATCCTTAGGCCCCCAGGAGGCCTCGCAGCCCCAGTGAACCTGATGCTCAGGACCCTCACCTCCACCAGCACGCCCCCTGGAAGCCTCGCAGCCCCAGTGAACCTGATGCTCAGGTTCCCCCCAACACACAGATGCAGACACTGACAGTCGCCGGGGAAGCAACCGGGTCCAGGACTCAAAGTGGCGCTTGCTCTCCCTACTCCGAACACCTAGAAAGCCGGGGACCAGCCCGGATGCACTCAGCTCCTCGACGGCGAGACTCTGACGGTCCCAGGGGCCAGCACAGAGAGAACACACAGCCCCAACTGCAGGCCTCATCCCTGCAGTCCCGGCCCGCTCCAGCCTGCTCTGCAACAGGGACTGTGGTGATGTCCCCTGCAGGACACCACGGCTCTGGTGGCTCCTGTGACTTGGACAAGGTGACACGGTGAGACCCAGGAGGCCACCTGAGGTTGAAGAGGCTGGCCCCGAGCTATTTCACGCTCGGGAGACTAGTGGTTTTCTCTGAATGAGCTGGCTTTCTGCAAGGAGATGTGGGGCTCATATCTGCTCCCCTGTGGCCGGAGCGAGTGAGCCAGGCTGACTGCTGACCTGGGCCATGCTGACTGGCCAGGACGGGGACCATTGGCCTTCACTGCTGTCACAAACAGGAAGTCAGTGCGTCGGGCTCCTTCCCCGCTCACTGAGCATGCGCTGGCCCATATGTGGTCGAGTAGTCACTTAAAAGAATGGTGAGGGACCAGCGGGTGGTGGTTCAGGCCGACAGACCCCACATGGCTAACTGTGCGGTCTGAGTCCCAGACTTGGAGGCTTGACAGACACGGTGGGCGTGTGTGTGTGCCCCAAATCCCCAGAGGAAGGAGAAATGGAGAAGGGACAGGCACGACCATGTCCCACGGGGATGCTTTCTCACTTTCCTCCTCTTCCTCACTGTGGTGAGGGCCGAGTTTCACCTGCAAGGAGAAGTGACGACCAGCCCGGAATGCCCCGCGGCCCGCGACTGCCTTGACCACGTTTATGAGCAACGCAGCGCTGAGCTCAGCTCCTCCCGCTCGGCGACCAGCGACAGGGTGAGGAACACACACACCACGGTGGACGGGACAGCTCTTGCCCTTCTGGAGTCGTCACCCAGTGGCAGAGGTAAGTGACACACCCGTGTGCAGGGATGGCTGCGGGGTGTGAAGAGATGGGAGGAGGGGCCGCAGCAGACACCTCGCAGGGCTCTGAGAAAGGTGGGGTCCCAGAGGGAGGCTCCCCTGCCCAGGGTGGGTGTGGTCTCTGTGGCTGGGGTGTGACACGAGGAAAGCGGCAGATGGAGGCGGACTCACGGGCAGAGCCGTAAGAAACACTGTTCACAGGTTTGGGACTCCTTCCCAGGCGTCTCGCACGTCCCGGCTTCCCCACCCTGCACTCCACCCGAGCTCCCGGGGAGGTTCATTTCCGGCTGCAAACATGCACTACGTAAAACCTCACGGACGAGACAACCCGGCTGCTCTCCCCGAGGGCAGTGGCCGTGTGTTGGAAAGTCTGTGAGGTCCCGTCTGCCTCGGAGGTGAGGCCGTGTACCACAGAGCAGAGGGCAAGCTTGGGCAAGCTTCCTGGAGTGGCATCCCGGGGGTGGCAGGCTGGGGCACACCGGAGGGGACTAGGCCCTCCTGGCTGAGAGCTGCAGTAGTGCCGGATCCATCCGATCCGATCGGTGGCAGTGAGGAGTCTGCAGTGCCCAGGGAAGGCAGGCAGTGGGCACAAGTTTGGGCACAGAGCTGACGTGGGTGACAGTGAGGACTGAACCGAGGGAAGGCGGCTGGCGTGGAGAAGGGGGCCACAGGCTCAGCAGCTCTGGGGCGGTGGGGAAGGGAAGGGGCTGGGGGGATTGCTAGCCTGGTTTGTCACCATTAACCAAGTTAAGTTGTCACAGGACAGGAGGAACAGGTTTTTCGAGGGTGGGGGCAGGGGTAGGAGAGAGCTGAGAAGACAGCGAGAGCCCGTGGAGTGCGGAATAGCTCTCGGCTGGAAAGGATGGAAACTAGTTTGAAGCTCAGGTGAGGGTGAGGACCGGCGGGCTACATCCAGGATGCCGTGCTGCCGTGTGGGTGCTGCCCTGCAGCCCCAGAAGGGAGGACTGGGCCGGGGACTGCACTGCGAGCACTCCTAAATGCATGGAAGGGAGAGTGAAGGTGGGCTGAGGGGCCGGGGATGGAGACAGTCCCAACAGACTGGCCAAACCGGCGTGGTCAGGGCAGCAGATGTGTCCCTGGCTCAGGGCTCCAGAGGAGGCCGCAGGGTCTAAGAGTGCGGAGGTGCCAGACTGCAGGGGTGACAGCAGAACATGGAAGAGCAGGGGAGAGAGGCAGGAGACTTTCTGTCCTCGTGGCTCCGTCCTCTGACATACCGTCTTCCCACCAGCCGGGCTTCCCGCCCTCAGTCCAAGCCCTCTCTGCCACAGGGCTCTGCTGCCCACCCCCTGAGGTCCACCAGTTCCTTAGGGGACTGCTGTCTGCTGCCCACGGTGTACTGTCCTCATCTGTGAGCACTCCGCTCTCCTGCCAGGCGGGCGCTCGGTGCCACGGACTGCAGACTCCTGCTCAGGCCTGTGGAGTAGAGGGCCTGGGTGGTGTGCACTGCGTGGGCATCGCAGAGGGGCACCTGCTGGAAGGTCACACCTGGCACGTGCCCAGCACTCTTTTCTCTCTTGGATCTTGGGCGTGCACGCACACGCGCCCAGTGTGAGTTTAAGCCACCGGGTCCAGGACTGGAACCGTGGTCGACTACATGAGAGTCCAGCGACATAGCCATTACGGCACCTGCTGGTCCCCCCCAGCACTCTTTTCTGAAGGAGTAGCCAGGGCTCCTTGCATGTCCTGGTTAAACATCACCATTGTGGAACACAAGACCATCCTGCACCAACTGCCCCCAAAGAATCCTTCAGGAAGCGTGGGGTCAAAGTTCACCTGGGTCCCGCCAAGGTCTCTCCAACACCCAGCCTGGCTCCAGGTGTCCACCACCAGGCGGGAGTAGCCCCGCTGGGGCAGGCGTCTGGAGTCAGTTAATCTGTAAGAACCCTGCCATTTTCAAATGTCCTGAACTCTTACTTCTGCTCCACGCAAAGTTCTCCAGGTCTGCTGGCAGGCCTGAGGGTGGCACCGTGTGGCAGACCCTCCCTGGGGGAGAAGCTCTAAGCCCTCCCAGTCCGTGCAGGGAGCTTCGTGCAACTTAGTTCACACCCGAATCACGTTTCTCCCACCTCTGTCTCCTCCCACAGGAGAGACATATTTCAAATCGTTGGGAAGCAGCCTGGGCACTGACTATCTTTGAACTGCTAGGAGGCAACGTGTGAAAGTGATACTGGGGACTTGGCAGCTCCGGGGCGCTGAAAGCGCCCTCTGTTCGGCAGCACCCCTCCTGCGCTCCCCCGCCTCGAGGGCAGCGCTGCCTGCCCAGGACAGTCTGGCAGAAGTGCTGAGCGGGAGAGCAGCCCTGGCATTTGCCTGGGTGGTCTGAGTCTCAGCGGGCTGCAGGCAAACAAAGCGGGCAGGACAGTGGCTCTCTTGAGCACTCCACCTCTTCCGTACCGATTAAGACAGAAACGGAAATTTTTTGTCTTAATACTGCAATCAGTATAAAGCAGGGACCCAAATACCCAGAGTACAGAGCACCGTGCCGTAATTAACCCAGGGACTAGGGTGCGCCTGGAAGTCATGACACCAGGCACTCTTGGTTTGCAGTTTCCTGCCCCCTCCGAGGGGCTGGTAAACCTCTGCCACTCGCTCGTGACTTGACTTCCCAGTCACAGCCTTTACTCTGCAGAAAGTCTAATAACCCCAACCACAGCTCGCGTGAGGGAGGGCATGGTGGAGGTGGGGCTAGGGGCTTGATAGGGAACTTGGTAAGGAAGGCACTCTGGCAGTGTCATGGGACAGCTCAGGAGTGTGCCGAAGGGACAAAGGGACGGACGGTTGAACGACTTAGAAAAACGCCGGGTCAGAGAAGGCTGAGCAAGCATCTTCATTGCAGGATTTCTTAGAGCCTTGAACAAACTAAGAAACATTGGCAATCTCAGAGAAATGGAGCAGGCAGCAATCCCCATCCCTATCTGAGCACAGGGCCCTGAGCTTTTCAGGTCTGGGGTTACTCAGGCCACAAGCTGCTTTGAAGTACTCCCCTTAAAAGCACCATGGGGGACCATCAGAGGGTATAGTGGTTACGCCCCTGGACTCCCATGCAGCTGACCACAGTCTGAGTCCCAGACCCAATGGCTTAAAACTCATGCCAGGCGTGTGTGCGTGCGTGCCCAAGATCCCCAGAGGAGAATGGAGGAGAAGGGACTGCGGCATGTCCATCCCACCTATGATTTCTCGCTTTCTGTCCCTCTGTCTGTCTCTCTCTTTCTGGTGAGCACATGTGCCCTTTAGCAAAAAACCTCTCCCTCCCCAAAAAATCTGTATTATTCTATCCCATCACCCTGGGAGAGAAAACAGTTCAGTTAATACTTTTTATTTAATTGCATTAATTGCCATTATTTTATTTTATTTTTTAAAGTTGACTAGAGAGAGAAAATAAGAAGGCAAGCTGCCAGGTCCAGGACTCGCACCATGGCCAGACACATGGGAGTCCAGCCGCCTTAACTGCCGCACCGCCTGCCGGCCCCAAGTTCAGCTAATCCTAATGTGTTACTTCATCATGACCAGTGCTCTCATTTCAAGAACGGTGGCAACACTGCTGGCATTCTGCTCTTTCCTAACCATCCGCAAGAACCCCAGGCCAGTTCAGCACCAATGTCTCAGCTTCCAAAACCTTTAAAACAGCACTGTCCCGGGAGAGACCCAGGTCTGCCAGCCCTGCTGCTCACCGTGGTGACTCCAGCACGTCCCATTCTCACTGGGGTCTTGGTTTCCTCATCTCTTAATGGGTGAGACTAGAGCCAGGCGTGTGTGCGTGCGTGCCCAAGATCCCCAGAGGAGAATGGAGGAGAAGGGACTGCGGCATGTCCATCCCACCTATGATTTCTCGCTTTCTGTCCCTCTGTCTGTCTCTCTCTTTCTGGTGAGCACATGTGCCCTTTAGCAAAAAACCTCTCCCTCCCCAAAAAATCTGTATTATTCTATCCCATCACCCTGGGAGAGAAAACAGTTCAGTTAATACTTTTTATTTAATTGCATTAATTGCCATTATTTTATTTTATTTTTTAAAGTTGACTAGAGAGAGAAAATAAGAAGGCAAGCTGCCAGGTCCAGGACTCGCACCATGGCCAGACACATGGGAGTCCAGCCGCCTTAACTGCCGCACCGCCTGCCGGCCCCAAGTTCAGCTAATCCTAATGTGTTACTTCATCATGACCAGTGCTCTCATTTCAAGAACGGTGGCAACACTGCTGGCATTCTGCTCTTTCCTAACCATCCGTAAGAACCCCAGGCCAGTTCAGCACCAATGTCTCAGCTTCCAAAACCTTTAAAACAGCACTGTCCCGGGAGAGACCCAGGTCTGCCAGCCCTGCTGCTCACCGTGGTGACTCCAGCACGTCCCATTCTCACTGGGGTCTTGGTTTCCTCATCTCTTAATGGGTGAGACTAGATTTCTGAGACGGCCCAGCAGCTCTGCAATGCTGAGGCCACATGGGGGTTTGGTTCTGGGTCAGCCTGTACCCATGCCTGTCATCTTGGCTAGCTGGAAAGGCTGGGGGAGGGTCATAGCAAGAATGCCCACCTCTGTCTTTCAAGAAATAAATAAAATCTAAAAGAATAGATCCCGGCGAATGTTCCCAGCTCCAAGAGTCAGCCATGAGCTGAAAACCAAGCATGTTTTTGCAGTGCACCATTACACGGGGTGGCAGGGAGAGCGACTTCCGCGGAGGCTGGTGAGCAGGAGGGTTCCCGAGTCTCCGGCCACTCCACCTGCTCTCTCCCGAGTTCTGTGCCAACACCCTGAGCAAATGAAGCCAGCCCACACCCTAGCACCCGAGGGCCATGGCTTCCCAGTCTTCCAGCCCTGGCGAGCAGGAAGTAGCCTCTACCATTTTAAGGACAGGCAGGGCAGCTCTGAGCAGGGGAAGGAGCGTGGGTATCACACCAAAGTGGCCTCTTCCCCCATGACTTTGTGCCAAGAGGAGAAGCCAGCCTGGGTTCGGAGCAGCCGCTCACTGCTTCCTACACCGGACTCCCTGCAGATGTGGCTGGCCCGCAGGCCCACAGCTGCTTCCTGTCCCCACATCCTGCGACTGCCTGAGGTCCGCCTGTCTTGTCTGAATGCAGAAGTTACTTATTTGCACAATCATTTCTGGAGCCTCAGATGTGGTTTAAGATGTTCAAGGGGGTACTGATAAATCGAGGAGAACGATCTTGCTCCAGGCTAGCCTGGGGGAACAACTCCCTGTATCCTGGGACAGCTGACGGCCCCTGACCATTTCTGATTCTGACAGGGGGGAAAAAAAGGCAACTCATGGCACACCGAAAACTACCAGAGCTTTACTAAAACCCTAACCCCAGTGTTATACAACGGTCTTGTAATTAGAGCTAAACAGTTACCAGAAGACGCTGGCAGCGAAAAAATAAAAATGTTCTCTCTTTCCTCAGTTATTGGAGATGGAGTTCCTTACGTAAGAGACTAGGTCACTGCAGAGGCTCTGTCAAAAAGCATTAGGCTACCAGAGGAATAGCCTGACTCTGATGTCACAAGGAACGCGCTACCAGAACTTGCCTCAAGGGCTCCCGCTGGCGAAGTCACCTTGCGACCAAGAAAGGAACATCTCATTTTCGCTCTCCTGACAGCCTATAAATATTTAGTTCAAGTCTCCTCTGCCTTTGAGCTGAGGCTTGCTAGATGCGAGGCGGGAAATGCATGCTGTGAGTAGCAGGAAGGGCCCCTCCAAGGACCCGGACACCTGCAGGAAACCGTCGCAGCCCATGCCCAAAGCAGGGTGAGTTCATGCTGCTGCTCCTGACACAGCAGAACACGGCTGCCAAGTCACCAGTCAGCATTGGCTTCTCCAGAACTGGTTCTGAGCGGACAGGAGCAAGAGGGGCAGGAGCTCGGGAGCCACAGGACGTCAGCCCCTCAGCACAGAGAGGACAACCCTGTGCTCCCAGCTCAAGGGCACACTGCTTTGGGCTCACTAGGGAGACTGTTTCTTCCTGGACTGTTTGTTCAAAAGGTCAGTGCATCTCAACCGTTCCACCACCACACACAGGACCTTCCCACCCTTTCCAGGCCCCTTACCTCTCTCCCAGCCCTACCTGGGCTCCCCCATCTGGCCAGACTCATTACCAAGCCAAGGTGTAGAATCCTCATCAAGGCCACTCTCGGCTTGGACTATCTTCCCACCCTCTCCCAGCCTTCCTTTCCTGACAAGTCTCAGGGTCTCTCCTATACTTTACACACTAGTCTGGCGGGTGAGGGTGTCTTGGCTTTTCTATCTCTCTCCACCCCACCAGAGATTTCCACCTCATTATGTCGCCGTCACCCCTTCTAAGGTGACTCAAGGCAGGTGTCCTCCCAAGACTGCAGGAATGTGATAGCCACATGCTACTTCCCTCTCTGATGTTAGGGGTTGCCCCCAAGGGTCCGGCTGTGCCCGCTCCAGTCCCCCTACCCACACAGTCCCCAGTCAGAGGGGCTACGCCCCCGGGTGCAGAAGACCCCACCCCTTCCCGAGCTACCGTGCCCCGCCCCTCCGCTGTTCCACCTGCTACTAGTCCCGCCTCCCCGACGCTACGATAGGCCAGCCCTCCAGGCCTGCTCTCCCATTGGGCAGAAGACGCGTCCCTCCAGTGCCACGTCTCCCGGCTCCGGCGAAAGAGGCCCGGGCGGCGGCCCGTGTCCTTAGAGAGATCTGATTTGGGGGCTCTACCTGGAAGGGGTTAACATCCACTGGGTCCGCGAAGGGGTTCGTGTCGAAGGCCGACATGGCGGTCGGGAGACCGGCGACGGAGCTCCGTGAGCGCTCTTGCCTCCGGCTACCCAGACCAGCGACACTCTGCGGACCCGCCACTTCCGGGAGCGAGGCAGCCGTTCTAGCGCAGGCGCAGTGCCCTCCCAGACGGGCGTGTCACTGGCGTCACAGAGGTGCGTCCCGCCCTCCTGCCCTGCTCGAGGTCTGCGAGCTGGAGTTCTGCTTCCCTCCGCGGCTTCCCTCCGCCCCGCCGCGGTGGCCTAGGCGGCGCATAGGGACGAGGTGGGCGGGGCCCTTCCCATCTGCTTCTTTCCAACTGGGCGTTTCTTAAGCACACTCGCAGAAGTGGGACAGCAGACTTAACCCCTTCACTTCCCTGGAGGGCACGTTTGGGAAGTCCGTCCGGGTCCCAGGGCTGGGGTCTGGGGTGACAGGTGAAGGGAGGGGCCTGGGGCGCAAGGGCTCCGGTGTAAAGGGCCCGCCAGAGGGATTCTCTTCAGGATAACTGAGAGAGAGAAACGGTGGGACCATGCATCAGCCCTCCACTCTAGCAGAACCCTGCTTGGCCTCTTGATGCCAAATGAGGATCCCTGAGCTCAGGCAGGTTTAAGCTTGGTTTAAGGTTTAAGCAGCTTGAGCTGGGACTTGAACCCGGGCATCAAGCATTTATTAAATGAATGAGAGAGTTTAGCAAAAGAGCTCAGTATGGAAGAGGTGGCTCATCCACTCCCCACACTGCCACCTTATTTATAAATATCTGACTTCGTTCATCTCTGCTGCCTCCAAATCCAGCCACTGTCTCTTTATCCCAAACATCTGTTAATTGTTTCGTGTGTAACCAGAAATCTGTTTAAAGGGACCAAAATTATCATGGGACTTTGTTTAAAATCTCCTGGGGCCTGATGGTGGCACAGTGGTAAAACAAATAACCTCTGTGCAGCTGACCCACAAGAGAAGGGTCCAGGTTTGCACCCAGATACCCTCTCGAGTACACCAGGCACAGAGGCGCCCATTAGCTGGGGGAGCTGAGGCTGGGAGTGGATTGTGGCACCAAGACCTTATGGGGATGCTTTCTCTCTCTCTCTTATTCATGTAAGAAATAAATAAGCTTTACCAAACAAACTAACAAACACAAAAGCCTCTCAATTCATTTTAATAACAGTTCAAATTCTTCAGCCTCATGGTCCTGCAGGCTCTGTTTTCAACCATCTAGCCTTCTCACCCCTCCTCTTCCCACCTCTCTGCACTCCAGGTAGTAATTACACACTTGTGTAGTGCTTATTTGTTCATGGCTATCTCCACTGGCCTGCAGGCTCCACGAGGGCAGGGGTGGGCCTATTTTGCTCACTGTTCTATTTCCGGCACTAACATAGTACCAATACATGATAGACAGTGCAAACGCGATGTAAACAGTTGTTACACTGCATTGCTTAGGGAGTAATGACAAGGAAACACATCTGTACGTGGTCAGTACAGACATGACAATTTTTTTTTTCCTGAATATTTCTATTGCAGTTGGTTGAATCTGCTGATGCACAACCCACGCAAAGGATCTGGACTTCTGGCTCCTGTAGTTCACACTATCACGACAACAAAGCGAGACGGTTCCTGGAAGGGACTGAACTCAGCGTGTAGTACATAACAAAGAATAAAAGTTAGCTACTATTATCGCTTACAGCCTCAGGCACAGGCAGAAATGTGAAGCTGAAGGACCAGCAATTAGTGTAATGGCTGTGTTGCTGGACTCCCATATAGTCGACCATGGTTCAAGTCCCAGACCCAGTGGCTTGAACTCATGCCGGGCATGTGTGCGTGCATTCCCAAGATCCGGGGAGGAGAATGGAGAAGGGACTGCTGCGTTCTCCCAGGGGATGATTTCTCACCTTCTGTCTCTCTCTGTCTTTCTGGTGAGCGCAAGCACCCTATAGCAAAAACCTCTCCCCCCCAAAAAAAGAAAGAAACGTGAAGCTGAATTTTAGACATAGAATTAGAAGGGAAGAGAGGAAAGCAAATCAGACCAGATATTAGAAAGTGATCCGTTCAAGTAGAGCTAGGCTATGGGAGGAAGGTAGAATGTTCCGGAAGTGTTCTCCAAACACTCTAGTTTCCCTTGCAGGACAAATGTCATGGTTGGGGTGGGGGCTTTTCTTTCCCTCTGCAGAGTTACTAAGGGGGTGACTCTAATTCTGCTTTCTGAGGTCGTAGTAATGAGGGGTCTTCCAAGAACCTTCTGCATCGGAGCTGATTCTCATCTTTTCTTCCGCCCCTTTCTTATGATGGAGCACATGTGTGCACATGTGACAGTGACGGGGGGAGAGAGGGGCACTTCTGCAGGGTCTGGATGATGGAGCACATGTGACAGTGAGGGGGGGAGAGAGGGGCACTTCTGCAGGGTCTGGACATGCTGTGTCCCCTTCCTCTGGTCCTCCAACCTCACGGATCTTGCCTGTTGGGTCTGGAGCACTCCTGAATGTGTCCAGCATGTTTCAGGAAGACCGGGCAGGGGATTTGAACTACAGTCACTCTGGGATCCACTAGAGCAAGGCTAATGGAGCAGGCCCCTAATCTTTCATTCTTATTCTTCCATTCTTTTTTTTTTTTAAAGGTTTTTTGCCATAGAGTGTGTGTGTTCGCCAAAGAGGAGAGGCAGAGAGAGTAAGAAATACCCCCACATGGGGCGGGGGGGGAGAATGGCCATGCTATGATCCCCTCTCCTCCATTCTCCTCCTGGGATTTTGGGTCTGTGCATGCACACACACCCAGCATGACTTACACACTGTCAGGTTTAGGTCTTGAACCTCAATAGACTGTATAGGGGTCCAGCACCTTAACTGCTATGCCACCTGCTGGCCCTCATTCTTCCATTCTTAGGGCTGGAGGTGGGCGTGGGGGTGATGAGAGGGAGAGGGCCTCACTGCATGCATGATTCTTGTACTTTTCACTTTATTATTTCGTAGCATATGGTCAAACTTCCTTGGAAATGCAGCGATTGATCTGAGCCAGGGGTTCCCAGGGGATGTTGATGACCACAGCGTCACAGAGAAAACAGCACCCCGTTTCCCTTGGGCATGTGGGGAGAGGCTGTGAGACTCAGATGTGTGTTGGGGGGAGGCAGTGTCAAGACTGTAACCCCTCACTCCAGGGTCCCTGGAACTGTAACCACTGTGTTCCCAGGGCCTGCAGCTCACTCCTGCTCCCAGGCTGTTGGCCGAGGAGGTCGGGACCTCAGATCCTTTCTCCGCAGGATACAGCAAGGTTGCTCCACTGCAGGGCCCAGCCCCAGCTTCCTGGGCTCTGGGTTAGGGATGCTCCCCTGACCTGTGTGTGGATTTGGGAACAGCACAGGGATGGGTCCGCAGTGTCCCACATCCCCCATGGGACCTTCCAACAAGCGTGTCAGGATTACTGCCTGACTAGCCTTGCTGGGGGGAGGGAGGCGGTGCAAGTGCGCTTCTTGCTCCCTTGCACGTACCCCCTCACGTTTAAAAAAAAAAAAGTGTGTAACGGAATTTGTTACTGCTGTGCAAAAAGCCATGCGGTTTTTCATACTTCTCACTTGCCAGGAGCTGTCTGAAGCTCTCTTGGAACTTGTCCTCCCCGGCCAGAACGCGAGCTCTAACGGGGCGGGGTGGATGTAGCCCTCAGGACGGTCCCCGCACTCGGCAGGTCAGCAGAACGTCCCTGGTGAAGGAGTGGACGCGCCGACACGCGACCGGAAGGAAGCCTCTGGCCTGGAGGGGGGGATGCACAGGGCGGCCCCGGCCCTCGGGACGGCGCGGGCGCCCACGGAACTACATTTCCCAGGAAGCTCTGGGCGCAGAGGAGGCCGCGGGTACTGTCGGGACGGACACGCGCGCCAGGAGCCTCGTCCCGAGCCGGTTCAGCGAGGTGAGCTGTCGGTCCCGCTTCGGCGAGGGTGGTGGTGGGTCGCACCTTGGGGACCCACGCTGGCGTGGTCTGCCAGGCCGAGCCACCCCCGGGGCTCCGCGGAAAGATGGGCTGGCGCCGGGCAGGAGGGCTCACTGCTACTGCAGCTCTCGGGGAAGGGGCCTCCGCTCTCCTCGGCAGCGCTGGGGTCACTGGCGCCTGTCCGGGGTGGGTACCTCCCGCTCCCTCCGGTCCCCTGCACACGGCTCTCTGCCCCAAGTCGACCTGCGGTCCCTCGTGCCTGTCTCAGGAGAGGAGGTTCACCCCAGCATCCCACAAAGCCCTTACAGCCTCCATCCCCAGTCCGAACCCCGGTGTGTGCCTGGTGTCACCAGGGGGTCAGAGCCGGGGTCAGAGCCGCCCTCTGTGCCCGCAGTGTTCGCACTGTCCTGCACGGTGCAGCAGTATGCCTGGGGAAAGAAGGGCTCCAGCAGCGAAGTGGCGCGGCTGCTGGCCAGCAGTGACCCCCAGGTCCAGATCTCAGAGGACAAGCCTTATGCAGAGGTGAGATCCAAGTGCCTGAGACAGGTCGGAAGGGTCGGCGGGAGGGCGGGGTTGCCAGGAGGGAGGATCCCGGCCCTTGGGATCATTGCAGGCTGATGGGACTGGGTGGCACCTAGGAGAGGGGTTTTCCATAGTGGGCTGAGGTTACCAGGGTCCTTTCTCCCAGCACCTCTCAACACTTGCATAATATTTTTTTTATTTTTAAGAGATTTTTGCTATAGGGACTGTGCACTTGCCTGAGAGACAGAGAGACAAAGTGAGAAATCACCCCCAACCACCCCATGACCATACCACAATCCCCTTTCCTCCATTCCCTTGGGATCTTGGGTGCCCACACACGTGTCCGACGTGAGTTTTAAGCCACCATCCAGAAGTCACATCTTGGTTGACTACATGGGGGTCCAGCGACATAACCATTATGCCATCTGTTGATCCCAGCACTTATGTCATTTTAATTCAGCCCTCTCTGATGATTAGATTTTTTACTTTGACTGTGTTTTACGTTTTTATTAACCCAAACCAAAATGCCCTTTCTCCTCCCTGTTCCGTAGAGAAAAAGCCAAAGCATAGGAAGGCATTTTCCTGTTTTGAGATGCGAAGAAGTGAATTTAAGTTAATCCCTCACAGAGCTGTTTGTGAGTCAGAGCTGTTCAGTGACTTTAACAGGGCAGGTGTCACTCTCCTCTGACAGACCAGGAGACTGGCCCAGAGAGGGGACATTACTAGCCCGAGGCCCCAGCTGGCTAGTTAGCCGAGCCTGGACAAAGGCAGGAACTTCTGACTCCGGGTGTTCTGCAGTCATACCATATGTCCTTATGTGAATAGATTTCAAAAAATTCACAGGCACGTGGAATTAAAGTACAAGTCCGTTTTGGTACAAAAAGCTTTTGAAGCCCATGCATATACATTTTTTCATAATGCACACTTTGTGTGGACTTTTGAAGCCTCATGTTTGTGAAGGCACAAGACCCAGGAGGCCTGGGCTGGGACATGGCTGCCCCGTGGGGAACACGGCGTAACTGGGGTCGTGGGAGGCTGACCAGTGGTGCTGGGCCTTCCCTTCTCCCCCACGTTTCCTGTCTTTCCAGTTGTGGATGGGGACGCACCCCCGAGGGGATGCCAAGATCCTGGACAACCGCATCTCGCAGACCCTAGGCCAGTGGATTGCCGAGCACCAGGACTGCTTGGGCTCGAAGGTCAAGGAGACTTTTAATGGCAAGCTGCCCTTTCTCTTCAAAGTGCTCTCAGTTGAAACGGCCCTGTCCATCCAGGCACACCCAGACAAGGTGTGGATCAGAATGGGGCGCAGAGGTCAGGGTGGAGAAGGGCTTATGTCAAGGCTCCCCTTTCATTGCTGCCTTTACCCCGCCCATACCAGGCTCCAGCCCAAAGCTAATTCCAGATCTGGTGACTCCCAGCTTAGCTCTGTACAGCCCGGCGGTGGGGACAGGCAGCAGCCTATCCACGTGGTCAGCAGTTAGCCTGAGCAGGGAGCTTCTTAGTTTATTCCCTGGGACCTCTTCTGCTGTCCCCTCACCCAGTCCGGATCTGTTCATATCTGCCATTTTCCCACCTGGCCTTCTGGGAGAGTT